CCTGCGAACACGCCACTCACTCACGACACCCCGGACACGGGGCTCGCCCTCTCGGCGAGCCGAAATCGACGGAAACGCGGAGCGGATTCTCGCGACCGACCGACGTTTTCTCCGCGTCCTACAACTGAACGTTCACTAGATTCGTAACGGTTGCACTTTCAAACGTGAAAGCAGCGGCCAATCAGGCTGCGAGCTTTCAGGCATCGATCTTGCAATGACAAGATCATGCAGCGAGCCTATAATATCTCGTGTAATCATAGGTCTGTTCGTATTGCATGAAGACGCGTATAATATATGAGGTGTGTTCGGTTTCACGCATAATGCGCATGATGTTAAGTCATTGACGTATGGATATTCATACGTCAATGTGTTAAGTACATACAAGAACATCTCACAAAAATTATACATATTAACATCAACAGCGTACTATAAACGCAACTTTAATCGAAATGCAAATGTCTGAAAAGAATTAAAAATTCAATGTCTAAAGTCATTGGCCGCGTTCAGCAGACACAACTGTTGAGTGAGCGCTCAATGATTTCTTAACATGATTGAGTGCGTTCCGGCAAGACACTGCTACCGTAGCGCTACAGCTTTTTCGCTACAATTGTAGCGGTGCCATATATACATTAGCGTGCATAACCTCAAAATTGAATTATAAGAGTCGCGTTTACCTCGTTTACAAAATTAATTGAAACGAATAGAATGGAATATATTGAAGATTGGCTCATGAATGACATATTGTTCGATTATTCATCAGATGAAAGCAACGTTAAAGAGGAAGAAGTTCCGCTACAATTGTAGCGGTACGTTTTGCCGAAACGTACTCGTGTAGCGCTATCGTAGCGCTACCGTAGCGCTACGGTAGCAGTGTCTTGCCGGAACGCACTCATTGACTGGATCTAAAAGTATTAGCCAATCATACTGAGCGCTCACTCAACAGTTGTGTCTGCTGAACGCGGCCAATGTAATTTCACTTATAAAGAATTCCGTAAAAAGGATATAAACTGGTGGAATTAATAAATCACCGATAAATGCTAATTAAAACACTCGATTCAATATTTCGCGTATTACTTTCGCGATGGATTAATTTTAATAACCGATGAAGATTTTAAAGCACGGCGTGAGAGAGATTCATTCCAAGTTCGAACGTTAGGAAAGGTAGCGTCCTTGTATTATTAAAATTAAAATAATTTTTATAATTCCCTTATCGCATTTCTACTTCAAATTACGCGTAATATTCTTTTTGTTTGTTGAGAAACTTTAGTTGAGAAATAACTTAATTACTTGTAACGAAGTTTCACAAGGAGTTGGTAGTTATAAAACTGGCCAATCACAACTATTCCTCAGAAGAATGGAATGGCTGTGATTGGCCAGCCCTTTAACTACGGATGTTATTAAACCCGATTAAGGGCCACTTTCACCAATCTCCGGTTAACCCAACCGGTCTAGTAACATGCAGGATTGCAACCGAATCTGATATATTTTCTCAGATTCTCATCAGATTTCTCATCAGATTCGGTTGCAATCCTGTATGTTACTAGACCGGTTGGGTTAACCGGAGATTGGTGAAAGTGGCCCTAAGTCTATCACACAATAGGAAAGCACAGGCAATAGGAACAGGGAATAGAATTTCTGATGCGTTGGATTGGTTGGAAGAAAATTTCCAACGCCATTGGCTTTGTTTACACCGTAAAATTATTTGATACGTGAACCAAAATGTTGCGTACCAAATGTTAAATCCGACTGCGTTTACACCATGTGTATTAAGTGTGCAAAAAAGTACATTAAGGTTAGGTTTGATACAGAAACGTATTATATTTAATTTGGTTGGAAAATCGGTGATCCTTAGATTGCGATGGATTCGGAAAATATTATCAGTTGTTTATTTACAAGCTTAGTCGGACTTTTAAAAATAAGTCAAGATTTTCGAAGAAAACCTCATCTCACCTAACCGTAACGTTCCTTCAATAATTATTATTTAATGCGCTACAGTTTACACCGACACAAAATTACTTGATACGCATACTAAATTGGTACGATACTCCTTTTGCAAGCGTATCGTACCAGTTCAGTACGCTATCGTTTACACCGCTGGACTAAATCAATTTAGTACGAATATAGTACCTCATACGCGTATCAAACGATCGGTGTAAACAAGGCCAATGATTCTCGGTTCTGTCTACAATGGTCGTAGCAGAGAGAAACCTGAGAGCGGCCATCCCTTTGTGTTTAGTTGGGACCGATTTTCGCCACCAGTTGTGGATGTAAGAACTACGGAGTCACATCTATTTATCGACACGATCGATAAATATCACTTTTTGGTGCGTGTCCGTGCTAAATTCGCTTTTCGATATTGTAAATAAATCACTTTTTGGTCCGTGTCCGTGCTACATCCACTTTCCAACACTGTCAATAAATCGCTTTTTGCCGTATGTCTA